CAAACGTCAGCCATCTTCAAAGGAAATTAGTCGACTGTCCTTATATGAAATAAATACATAACAAATAATATTTTTATGAATAAAAACTGGGTTTTATAAGAATTCCTTAATGATATATGATGACATAAAATTCCATTTTGTAGGACAAGTTGGTTGGAAGGTATTCGGGAAATGGTATAGATGGAAACTAAAAGAGGATTACCGCGAAGTGAAGACTGCTGGATTGTGCAACTAAGTCCTCAGCTCGCTTTCCTGCGACTCCGATGAACCTGCGCCAAGCTTTATTCTTTACTATGACAGACGTCATCAGAGCAAGAATCCATACTCTACAGAATAGAGCAAAAATATACGAAACAAAGAGAAATGATATTTTTGCAAATGATTCCTCGAGATCTGGCCTCTGCCTATACTCTATAGGTTTTTCCTAAAAAAATATCAAACCATCTTTAAATTAGTATAGTTCAGTTCAAAATATGGACACTATCCGTTGACTAGTCTAAAAACACGGATCCGAATAACCTGAACATATCAACCGATTATGTGGTCTATTCATAGGTAGCTTCTTAGAGAATAAGAGTTCTCAATTGGATCTTTAGTGATATATTTGGTTCTAAATGACATCTAACAGATGAGTAGAATTCTTCCCATTTCATAAACTGGCTAGTCATGGTAAAATACAGCTGGTAAGAGAGCCGTGGACTAAGAAACAGCCCAAAATGCGCTATCATATTTTACCTCATAAATTATATCAGCGAAAGTGTTGGCAGCTTAATTTTCCATCCTTATACCTGACCGTTTCACTCATCCCTCTCTACTCCCTGTGCATTTAAAAACAGTGGTTGAAATACTGAACTGTATGATCTGTCAACGACATCGACTTGTATTAAATAGAATTTTATACCTGACATGCCAAGTCTTTTTACACTTTGTGGGCCCATAATTTGAAGAAGTGTAACGCTGCTTTACTTGCAGAGTATTACTACTGACAACAAAGTCTTTTTAGATAGGCTTAGACTTTGTTTTTTATCGGTTCTTATTTCTCGCATTATTTAATGAATGACGAGCATTTAGCTTTTCCTTAAAAATATTTACTGATTTCCCTGACATTTTATTCTACCATCAGGTCTACGAGATCTGCACAGACGGAATTCCGCGCCTCTGCCTCTCGGGTACCTCGGAAATCGCTTTGGCCGGACTCTGTGCCAACCGAGTCCTCCCTGATGCTATGTTCCCTGTGCTTTCTGAATCTCATTTCAGCCATTCGTTTTCTGCGTGCAAAAATCAGGCATCTGCAAATGAGGCCAATAATCAGGGCGTTAGCCTGGAGCATGCTGGGATTGATGAAGGTTTTAACACCATAGGAAAAACAACTGATAGGGGCCCTTTCGAATGTCTCAAGTCATTTATTCGTAGAAAGGCTATTGGTTTGTGCGCCTCGAGTCGCTGCTTTCGCGAAGAAATCTCCCACCAGTCTCAGCCGCTCTATCGAGTACACCAGTTTACTAAAGTGCGTACTTATTCTATTGTACTTACCTATATGTCCGCTTATTTTCGCATGCATGTACGTTTGTACTTATTCCTATATTCGTGTTTATATCTGATGACATATTAACTATATTATAATTATAGTAGTTTCCTTAGGTTTCTTGCGCGTTATTTATCATCCGTATTTTTCGTTTATAAGCAGCATTTCGAGACTAATACTAAATCATTTATATGAGATGTATTCACTGTATTTCGTTTAAGGTGATTAAGTACTGGTAGTTGAATTTTCCCATAGTGATATGGATAGAGCTGACCTAGGCGAGGTCGAAACTGCAGTTCACCCCAGCTTAGAACAACTTTTGGGAAAGTAAGTCTATGTGAATTCCAATGGAAACGTCAACTCTACTCATATTATTGTGGGGAAATTTTCCTACCCGTCCTTCATCACTTTAATCGAGATAGGGTGAATACATCTCATATTTTTT